TGAAGTGGTACAACAGTAAAAAAATTTTAAAACTACAGTTCATTTTGGCTCTCCTTGAAGTGTATCTGTATTCTTCAAATGGGCGTCTTTCTCAGGAGTCAGATTCAACTTCACATCCAAGACTCCATTCTGTCTCAGGATGCAAGGAACACAGACGAAGACATCATCTTTTATTCCATAGAAACCCTTAATCGTGGTGGAAATCGGATGCATCCCACCTAAGATTCTTCATTATACTTTCTGCCAAATCTGCCACAGAATGTGTAGTCTTTCAGTTTGATCACCTTATAGGCACTGTCAACCATACATTTCTGAGCCTCTTTCCACTGTTCCTTATCTGCATCAGTGTCTCTGTCAGGGTGCAGATTCTTCTGGGAGACATCAGCAACATTTTCTCCATGCAGGGTACACTAGCCTCCATGCTCACCTAGGATCCACCCATGACAGCTTAATGGGTAAACTCCCAGCCTTTCCCCCATTAGGTAACGGAACTGGGCTGAATCCAGATTGCAACCGCTTCCACTAACATAGTGTTTGAGAAAGGTGCTTATCTTCCAAGGCACATATGTCAAGATATCCACTGGAGTGGAAACAACAAGCAACTTGCAGTTGAGGCTGTATTTTACAGTAATTAGAAATGATGCATTTAAATATGTTCGCATTATGCTATTCACACTCTTGCTGATATGCCCCCAGCTGTGATAATAACCAGCTAGGAGTTTGCAGTTATGATATAGTTTTACCAGAGGCAGTTTTTGGTGTTTTAAGGAAAAGGCTGCCGTGTTGGAGATCCATCATCTGTCCCTTCGGTTTATCTTTCATGATACCAGTAAGAACAAGTTCATTTTCCAAGTCCTTCATTAAGAGACTGATGGCAGGATGCCTGGGTGGCTCAGTAGTTAAACTCTTGGTTTCTGCTCAGGTCATGATCTCACAGTTGTGAGATCTAGCCTTGTGGGTGGCTCCATGCTGAGAGTTGGAGCCTGCTTCAGATTCTCTCTTTCTTTCCCTCTGCCCTTCTATATATGTATGTTTATTTTTTTTATTTATTTTTGAGACAGAGAGAAACAGCATGAGTGGGGTAGGGTCAGAAAGAAAGGGAGACACAGAATCTGAAGCACATTCCAGGCTCTGAGCTGTCAGCACAGAGCCTGATGTTGGGGCTTGAACTCACGAACCATGAGATTATGACCTGAGCTGAAGTTGGCTGCTTAACCAACTGAGCCACCCAGGTGCCCCATCCCTTCTGGATAGAGTTCACAAGCTCTCTCTCTCTCTCTCTCTCTCTCTCTAAAACAGAAGGAAAAAAAGAGACTGATGGTACAGGCCATGCCAACAGCACCAACCCAAAAAACTGTAATCTTATTCTTCGGGGTATGGCTGAGCTAGCTTGCGTCCTCCCTTCCTCCCTCCCTTCCAAGCTGATCCTGGAGAGTTGCCACATTGGATTTAGAACCAAAAGGAATTGAGAGTATTATTAGGCCAGGTAGGCGCGCACATGTATGGCGTTGGAATCAGACTTGGCGGCAGTGGCTCCAGTACCCGTACTATATGTTATTTAGAATTGTGGTGTTTACGCCCGAAAAACAAACAACCTAGTGAAGAAATGGGCAGAAGACATGAACAGACACTTCTCCAAAGAGGACATCCAGATGGCCAACAGACACATGAAATGATGCTCAGCATCCCTCCTCATCAGGGAGATACAAATCAAAACCACACTGAGATACCACCTCACACCAGTCAGAG